CTCTTTGTTTCCAACCTTTGCGTTCCAATCACCAGTAATTATCAATACATTTTGATAACATGTTTGGTCAATGTTGGTAGAATTCTTCAGTTTCATCCTCACTTGCTTTAGTGATTGGTGCGTAGATTTGAATAATAGTGGTATTAACTGGTCTTCCTTGTAGGTGTATGTGTATTATCCTATCACAGATAGTGTTGTACTCCAAGAAAGATCTTGACAAGTCCTGTTTGATGATGAATACAACAACGTTCCTCTTCAATTTGTCATTCCCTGCATAGTAAACCATGTGATTGTCAGATTCAAAATGGCCAATACCAGTCCATTTCAGCTCACTAATGCCTAAGATATTGATGTTTATTCATTCCATTTCATTTTTGACAACTTCTAATTTTCCTAGATTCATACTTCGTACATGCCATGTTCCAATTATTAATGGATGTTTATAGCTGTTTCTCTTCATTTGGAGTTGTGCCCCATCAGGAAATGAAGGTCCCAAGGGACAGCCCAGCAGTGGGGACAGGAGGTGTGGACTGGGGACGGCCCGGGTGTGGGACAGCCCAGCAGTTGGGGACAGGATTACGACATGGAAGGTGATGCGGCCCCCCCTTCCCTTCCCATGGAGGATGCCTGGGGTCTTTGTGTTCACAGGGAAATCTTGACATCTTTCCTCCTCGTGGGCCTGCTGTGGAGGGCCCCAGGACGCAGGACGGTGGCCCCATGTTTGGTCACAATGCACGTGCCAGCCTCCTCTTGTCCATGCCCTCGATCAACATGTCCTGGGCTCACTGCCCACCACAGAAACAGGGCCCAAGGGCAGCTCCACAGCAGACCAGCGCTTTGGGGACCCCAGAGGCAGGCTGAGTCCTGAGCCACCGGAACCAATGGGAGCCCCACGGGAGCAACTTTCTGGAGCTGTGGCCTGTTGTGGGGCAGGGACCCCACACTGCACTGGCCTTCCTATGCCCGGCATGGCCCAGCTGTCCCCAGCGAGGCCCCCTTGTAGCCTGGTTCCCCTTGATCCTTCCCAGTGAAGCTCTCCAGCAAGGCTGCCCCCAAACTGTCCTCACAGACATCCTGAGGGCTCTTTCTGATTGTGGGGATGAGTCTCCGGGGACCTCCGGCTGCCCCTACACGCCCTCCAGTCCCCACTCTGGGCAGCATCCACACCAGTCTGCGTCTGAGCACCACTGAGCTTGCTCGGCTCGGGACACTCTCAGTTCCTCTGTGCTCCTCAGGGTGAGGAACGCCAGCCTGGCCTGGCCACCTCTCCAGCCCAGCTTGGCCTCTCTAGGGGAGGTGACAGTGCTGAACCTGGCCCCCAGTAGTGTGGGACACGTCCATGAAGCAGCGGGTACGGACACCCTTGGGCGCCCAGGGCAGCGGGCCCTGAGTGCCCGGTCTTCAAAACCGGTGGCTCCACCCCCCCGGGGACTGGGTGTGACCACAGAGCGTGGGGCTGCTGACTGGCCAGTGGCCCTGAAGTCTGAGTCGGGGTTTTCATTGAGGAAGTTCCTAAGCCCCGGTGGTGTCAGACGTGCCGGGATCTGTCTCTGGTGATGCTGGGCCAGCCAGCGTTCCCCAGCTGGGCGGGTCCCCGGAGGTGGGACTCAGCTCGTGACTCACCGAGGCCCAGACACCTGCCCTCGGTGTCGGCTCCTCGGCCTCCCCCAGAAGCTCCCGACTCGCTCCTCTGATAGACACACCTTCCTCACGTTGGTCATGAGCCTTCATTGATTCATGTCTCTCTCTCTTTTTTTTCAGTCTGCGACGGTGTCCGACGGTGGTAAGTCCTAGTTTCTCATGTCTTTTTTTATTGTTTTTCATGACATTGGAACACTTGACTCCGCCATGAAAGGCTCCCCTTGCTCCCTGCCTCCCCCGGGGTGGGGGTGCTACCAGCCAGGGCCCCACGGTGCCCTTGTGTGAGTTTTCTGCTGCTCCAGGTGGCCGTTCACCCCAGAGAAATGTTATCAGCCTGAGCTTGGTGCAGCCGTTTGCCTGGGCTGCGGCCGCTCACATACCTGCGTGTGACAAGCCCCAGCAGGTCTCTGCTGCCCCGTGGTTGTGTAACCAGCTTTCATCCAGCATGTCAGGAGCCAGCTCAGAATGATTCCTAATTTGAGCAAGTCTGGAAATCTGGCTGAGACCTTTCCGTGGCTAACCTGCCTTTTTGGAGGAAAGCAAAGAGTGGATGGGGGTGAAGATGAGTCAAAGCTGTCTTTTCAGTCACTCTCCTGAGTGGTTAAGCTCAAAAGGAGACGGCTAGCGAGGTCCCGTTTGGCTGGAACTGTCTCTGCTACTGTCCCCAGCACTGCCCGTCAGTGATTCCAGTTTAATTGTATTTAAACTAGGAGCAGGTTTCTTGGAAGTGGTCCCTGTGCCCTCATAGTCCTTAAAGCTCTGGGGCCCCAAATGGCGTTTCTTTGTTTTCAATTGAGTCCTCTGTCTCTGAGAGCTGAATGGTGTCATTTATCAAAGGTGGCTGCCTTCATGTGGTGGGGAATGCTGCTGCCGGCTCTAAGTCAGGAAGCAGAGATGTTGGGGCTGGAGCAGGGAGGGGACGCGGGTGGTCCCTCACACAGACTGTGAGTTGAAGAGGAGCTCAGTGGAGTACCCCCCAGACCTCTGTTGACTGCAGTGTTTGGTGGCTCCGAGAAGGTCAGGTCGGCCTTCCCAGGGTGTGGGTCATCAGTGTTGGCGGGCCCCCGCCGCCGGGGTCAGCACATGGGAAGTGCCTGAGATAGCTCTCCAGTTACAGAAGGGCTAATCCCGAAGCCGGACCCAGTGAGCCTCAAGGCCGGGAGCTTTGGGCTCATTCTTTTGTTGGTCGGGAATTGTGTTACCTGTTTTGTTAGCTGGGCAGCTCGTGCCATTGAATCCGTCTTAATCTGGGAGTGGGAGAAATCGCCCTCATGCGCAGAGACAGGACCTGAAGCCAAGCCCAGGATCCCAGCGGGTGGTTTTGTTGGTGTTTGGCCCCTGCCCAATGTGCCCAGTGGGTGCTGGCTGATATATCTGTGGACATTTTTAAATCTGAGAGGTTGATTTACTACATTCAATATAATTGTGATCATGAATATTGATCTATCTCTGAAGATTTCTCCACTCAGCAATGGATGTAGGAACCCCAGAGGGTTTTAGTCATAGACTCCATTACGTCGAGTCTGTTCCAACTCACAGCAACCCTTTAGGACAGGGTAGAATTGCTCCGTCGGGTTTCTGAGACTGTCGGTGTTGATGGGCACAGACAGCCTCCTCATTCTACTGTGGGTGTGAACCGCTGACCTGTGGTTAGCAGCCCATATAGGTCACTTTCTAATTTTTTAAAGAATTATATTTCCTGAGTGTGGGTGCGTCAGGGACTCTGGCCCCTAACTTCCTCTCCTCCCCGTTTTTCCTGTAGAAGGAGCCCTCTGCCTGTACCAGGAGGACCCCACTCCTTGGGGCACGCTCCCTGGGTCCCAGGCACTGTGCTGGGCAGCTTGCGTGCGTTTTGATTTCTTCCGGCTTCCTCTGTCCTCACGCTCCCTTCTGATGATAACAGTGAAAACAAATGGTCCCGTTTAACCTGCTGTCGGTTCTAGGAGACACCGTTAGTTGCAGACATTCCTGTGAGCTTCCCTTGCACCCCCTCCGGTCCCTGGGCCCCAGGACGCTTAGCCCCTTTTCCTGAGGAGTCCAGTTCCTGGAACTTTCTCTTACTCCCATTTGCCCCAGAACCCTGAGCTGAGAGAAGAGACCCCACACCCTGCCTGCCTCCGCAGCGAGGGACAGGGCGGCCAGAGGACCCAGGCGGAAGCTCTGCATGTTTATATTCTGTGGTCAGCCCACCAATGGCTAGGGGGTCCCTCCAGCCTGGCCTGGGAACACCAGCTCCACACGGTTTCCATGGGAAAAATGCATGTCGCCTTCCTAGCAGCGAGTTAGAAGCTGCTTTGGGGAGCACCTTGTTCCCAGCCTGAGGCAGTTCCCTCGCCGTGGCCTCGACGTGTCCTTAGCTTGTGTGCAGTCAGCCTCTTGGTGATATATTCCATGTCACACATTCCCACGTGACTGTGCACACTGTCTGTGTGTGCATACAGGTCTCAGAGACCAGGAAGCACATGGAAAAGTCCCCTCATCTCCTAATTCCGTTTTTTCCATGTACTTTTGAAAGTCCCGCCATACAGATGAGCCAGGCTGGTGGTTTGGTCTTCAGGAAGGTGGACCTGTTACTTTTTGTCATTTCTGTCACCTTGCTGTGCACATTTTCACTTTCTCAGAAGACAGGGGACCTCGGTGACCCCCTGCACCCTGCCTCCCTGACAAACCAGGTCTCGAAGGAGGAGGAGAGGTTGGCTGCAAAGTGGCCGAGTGACAGGCGGGTTTGGCTCTGAAATAGGAAGCGCAGAGGGCAGTGGTGAGCCCGTAGGAACCCAGTTCCAGTCTGCAGGCGGTAGCTCCCAGAAGCTGGCTTACATCACGATGGGAGGCAGGCTCACTAACAACCTGCCATATGCAGATGACACAAGCTTGCTTGCTGAAAGCTCCGAGGACTTGAAGATCAAAGCTAGAGCCTTCAGAATGGATTGTTGTCAGACAGTGCACAGTGCACAAGAGTCCTCACCGTGGGACCCATAAACACCATCATGATAAACAGGCAAGACCAAAGCTGTCAAAGACTTCAAGTTGGTTGCATCCACAATCACTGCTCATGGAAGCAGCAGTAGAGACCTCAAATGGCGTATTGCATGGGACAGATCTGAAGCACAAGATCTCTTTAAGTGTTCAAGAGCAAAGACATCAGTTTGAGGTGCACCTGACTCAAAGCATGGCACTGTGGGAGAATGCACTGGACTGCAAGGTTGGTGGTTCAAATTCCCCAGCCGCTCCTCGGAAACCCTCTACAGGGTCGCTCTGAGTTGGAACTGACTCAGTGGCACTTAACAACAACAATATATACATATGAAAGTTGGACAGTGAATAAGGGAGATTATAGAAGAATTGATGCATTTGAATTATTATGTTGGGGAAGAATAGGTTGAAAGTACCATGGACTGCCAGAAAAACTAAACTTGTGTTGAAAGACGTATAGCCAGAATGCTCCAGAAGTGAGGCTGGCGAGTCGGTCTCTAATACTTTGGACATGTTGTCAGGAGGGCCCAGTCCCTGGAGAAGGACACCATGCTTGGGAAAGTGGTGGGTCAGCAAAAGAAAGGACTGACCCAGTGGTAGCAGGAGTGGGCTCAAACGTCACAACAGTTGTGAGTTTGCCACAGGACCGGGCCATGTTTCGTTCTGTTTTGCATGGGTTCGCTCTGAGTCGGAACCAACTCGACGACGCCAAAAAACAAGAGCACCCAGGCCCTGAACTAGAACATTCCAGCATCCAGACCATGAAATGATAAAGAGTGTCCCAGCCCCCCAGGGGCCCTTCGTGTCCCCTCTCAGTCACCCTTCCCGAGGTAACACTGGCGTTAGTTTTGCGTTTCTGAACTTTAAGTGGACCTGTGCAGAGTGTGTGTGACTTCGGACCTGTGTGTGTCTCAGTAGCTGTACCTCTCATTGCTAGATGCTACTGCGTAGATACATCACTGTTCATGCATCCATTCTGCTTTGGTGAGTTTGGCCCTGATGCCCGAGGCGCGGACCCGGAACTGTGTCTGTGGGTGGCTCCTCCATGACTCTTGGGGAAGGCTCAGGACTCTTTCTGGGGCTCTCTGGTGAAGCCCACATTGAGGGGTCCTTGGACTTCTGGTTGGGCTGTATCTTCCTCAGCTGGATGGTCTAGGGTTCCCACGCGGCCCGAGTCTGGAGAAAACAAATGTGTCTTCTCGCACCGGGCATCCTGTACGAACACCTCAGTCCGGTCAGCTTGATGAGTGACACATGAGGGCCTGTCTTTGGGAAATGCTGTGTTCCATGTGAGCCCCCTCCCAGTCAGAGTCGGGTTCTGTGTGGGCTTCACTCGTCTCTGCTCCCAGCCTCACACTTCCTACAGTGGCTCTTTACAGCTACTTTCCTGCCCACCCACGTGGCCTTGGCGGCTCCGGCACGGTCCCCATGCCATCTGTGTGGCATTTCGGGCTCCAGGACTTGGCTCAGGGTCTGGGAGGGGGCGTTCCAGGAGAGCCCGAGGGCAGACTTCTCCCCTGCCCCAGGCTGAGGGTCCACTGCACCCAAGCCCCAGTACCTCTTCCGGGGCCAAGGATTCTGGTTGTGGGGGCCCAGTTCTCTAGGAATGCAGAAGGAAACTGTGAAGTCGCTCTTGGAAGAGGAGCTTAGGGCTCCCCAAACTTAGTGAATTTTTTGGTCCCCTTAGAGAAAGCTGCCAACCCAGTGTGTGGGGTCTGTGAGCACTCGCTAACCCTGAGAATCAAGCGCCCTCCGGAAGCAGGACCCTTCTCATTCCCCCCAGGGAGCGTGGGGGCTGGTTCTGGTGATATCCCCTGGCTTTCCAGAAACATCTATAACAGATGTGGTGTATTTTCTTGGACCCAAAACTCTCCTTTATGAGTGGTTTTGTTTGGGCTCATGGCCTACGTGCATCCATGTTCCCGGTGCCAGGCTAGCGACTCATAAAAAACCAACAAACCAACGAGATTGGCAAGTGATGAAGGATTCAGAAATGGTTAATGGTGAGGCCCGAACACCAGGCTGAATGTGGTAAATGTCTCTTCCGACCGTACATGCGACACAGGTAGGAATGGCAAATGTTCTGCCTCCACCTGTGTATCTAACGGACCACAACAGAAGAAGGGGACTGGTGAGGGCTGAGTGATCGCCAATGGATTTCAGTTTCAG